CCAGCCACTGCAATCCTTGCTTCAGATAGAGGGTTAGAACTTCTGGAGGGTTTTTATTGCCGTTTACTCCGCTAAGGAACTTCCCCTTGCTGCGGGTCCCAATCTCACCCCTATGACACCCCATCCCTTCCTGTCCTGCTGAGCTCCTTTCATTGGGGCAGGAAGTGTGTGTGTGTGTGTGTGGGGGGGGGGGGGCAGATTTCAAATCACTTCTCTGTTCAAAATTGGCTTGTCAAACAATTATAGAAGGAGGGGGTGCGGGGGTGTAAGGGGAAGGTGTGCAGGGGGTGTAGGGCACATGGGAAAGAGGGTGCAGAGAATGTAGGGGAAGGGGGTGCAGGGAATGTAGTGGAAAGGAGGTGCAGGGGGTGTAGGGCACATAGGGGAAGTGGGTGCAGGGGATGTAGTGGAAAGGAGGTGCAGGGGGTGTAGGGCACATAGGGGAAGTGGGTGCAGGGGATGTAGTGGAAAGGGGGTGCAGGGGATGTAAGAGAAGGGGATTGCAGGGGATTTATGGGAAGTGGATTTAGGAAGCAGGGGGTGTAGGTGATGCTGGAAGCAGTGCAGGAAATGTTCAGAAATCTCCCTTTATTTCCCTTCTTTGGGGTTCTCTGCAGATAAAGTAGTTCTTCATATAAAACAGAAAATCTTTTTACTAAAATGATCACATGACACAAGGGGCGGGGTTTTCACAAAAGATCGCCATCATATTGGTGTGCCGGAGGCAGCCTGTAATGTTGTCTATGAACCTGATTATTATTATGTCCTCCGTCACCAACGTCCTGTGCAGAGCCGGGGGATCCACAAGGACACCAATGTGATAAGGACAGGTTCAAACCAATGCATTGTGCTTTTTGCCTTCATTTTGCCACGTTTTGAGTTTTCTCTGCTTTTTTTCATTTTTTCAGAGGTTTAAAGGGGAATTTTTTTTTTGTTACTGGTAAGAATAAAAATGCAAAACGCGGCCAAACTGCACTACATGTGTTTCAGCAGCTTCTCCATTGCACTCTATTGTAACAAAAATGCTGCATTTCCCCGACCCTTTCCAAAAAAGGGCTCAGAAAAAGCATAGATGTGAACGCGTCCCATAGGAAGCCATGCTACATGGACTGAAGCACTAAAACATGCATTGGTGTCAGCCAGGCCCCAGACGGGTCCAGCAGAAATAGAAATGTGACAACAGAATGAGAAATTCTGCTGTTAGAAATGACAAGAGCCGGTCACATGGAGGACTTTGTGTGGAATCCTCTGATATTGGACAAGAGAGAGAACAGAATCTGACCGACCATCCAACATCTCCACTCCAAACTGACCGAGGTATAATGTGGTCATCACGGGTCACCGCACATCACTGCGCCTCCATGGTGGATAATGCACCTGCTACATTCATCAGATAGCCGAGACAGCGCAAGATGATTGTTACACCGCAGTCCATAGTGCCCAACCCCCGACCATTCATTATTTTTGTATGATGGATCCTGGACCTCAGCAGCCTCCTTCCTTCCTTCTCCCCTTCCTTCCTCCCTTCCTTCCTCCCTTCCTTCCTTTATTCCTTTTTTCTTACCTTCCTTCTCCTTCCTTCCCTTCTTTATTCATTTTCTCCTTCCTTCCTTCTCTCCTTCCTTCCCTTTATTCCTTTTCTCCTTCCTTCCTTCCTTCCTTCTCTCCTTCCTTCCCTTCTCTATTCCTTTTCTCCTTCCTTCCTTCCTTCCTTACTTCCTTCCTTCTCTCCTTCCTTCCTTTTTCCTCCTTCCTTCTTCTCTCCTTCCTTCCCTTCTTTATTCCTTTTCTCCTTCCTTCCTTCTCTGCTTCCCTCCCTTCTTTATTCCTTCTCTCCTTCCTTCGTTCCTTCTCTTCTTCCTTCCCTTTATTCCTTCTCTCTTTCCTTCCTTCCTTCTCTCCTTCCTTCCCTTTATTCCTTCTCTCCTTCCTTCCTTCCTTCTCTCCTTCCTTCCCTTTATTCCTTCTCTCCTTCCTTCCTTTTCTCTCCTTCCTTCCCTTCTTATTCCTTTTCTCCTTCCTTCCTTCTCTGCTTCCCTCCCTTCTTTATTCCTTTTCTCCTTCCTTCCTTCCCTTCTTTATTCCTTTTCTCCTTCCTTCCTTCCTTCTCCTTCCTTCCCTTTATTCCTTCTCTCCTTCCTTCCTTCCCTTCTTTATTCCTTTTTCCTCCTTCCTTCCTCCTTTTTTCCCTTCTTTATTCCTTCTCTCCTTCCTTCCTTCCTTCTCTCCTTCCTTCCCTTTATTCCTTCTCTCCTTCCTTCCTTCCTTCTCTCCTTCCTTCCCTTCTTTATTCCTTTTCTCCTTCCTTCCTTCCTTCTCTCCTTCCTTCCCTTCTTTATTCCTTTTCTCCTTCCTTCCTTCTCTCCTTCCTTCCTTCCTTCTCTCCTTCCTTCCCTTTATTCCTTTTCTCATTCCTTCCTTCCTTCCCTTCTTTATTCCTTTTCTCCTTCCTTCCTTCCTTCTCTCCTTCCTTCCCTTCTTTATTCCTTTTCTCCTTCCTTCCTTCTCTACTTCCTTCCTTCTTTATTCCTTTCCTTCCTTTCATTCTCTTTCCTTCCTTCCCTTCTTTATTCCTTCTCTACTTCCTTCCTTCTCTCTCTCCTTCCTTCCTTTCCTTCCTTCCCTTCTTTATTCCTTCTCTCGTTACTTCCTTCCCTTCATTATTTTTTTTTCTCCTTCCTTCTCCATTCACAATTTGGGATAGTGGGCAGGGCAGCCGTGATCCTACCTGCAATTCCAAATCTCGTGGTAATCACAACGCAATGCACAGAACGCATTTGGGTGATATTATCCTTCAATGGCACTTCAAACGCGAAGCGAGCTGCGATTGTTGGGTGACAGGATCACGCGGAATACCACGCTTTTAAAAAATGATGTAAAGCTCATCACCCAAAAGGGGGGGGGGGGGGGGGGGTATTTAGCTTGGTTGGTTTAGTATAATTTACTCTCCTTTGTATTCACATTATTTTTCTGTCTGATTGTTGATCGATTCGGCATATTTGATTGATCGTTATCTGTGTAATATCGCTGGCATTTTTTTATTCCACTCATTATTATTACTTTGTTTTGCCGTTTGTGTTTTCTTTCTGTGAAACAATAAATATATTGAGGCCATCAACGGTTCGTTTATTGTTTGGGACAAGAACAGGTCACAGAGAAGAGCTTTGTAATCCTCAGGAGCCATTTATAGCTGATTGTACCCTTAGAGTGGAACTCCGGGATCAGCAAATATCATCCAAATCCATCGGTTGTGTCTTCTTGGATCTCGGTGATCTTTGTGTATTTCCTGGTCTGGGCAGTAATCCAGGGTGAGACTTCCTGTAATAAAGACCTCTCACTGCTGCTCTCTCTGTGCAGGGGGACTGGTCTGGTCTCCGCCCCCTCCTATAGTTTTATGTAGTGGGTGGAGCCTGCTGGCCCCTCCTACAGCTCTGTTCCCTCTTCTTGTGCAGAATGACTAGTCTTGCCTCCACTCCCTCCTGTAGTTTTCTGAAGTAGGTGGAGCCTGTTGGGCCCCTCCCACAGCTTTGCTTTCTGTACAGACTGCAGCACAGTGATGATGTCACTGCTACTTTTACAAGGTAATATTTGGGTTTGCAAAGGCATTTGGTGCTCACAAAGTGGGATTTACACTATATTGCCCCAAGTATTGGTCCTCCTGCCTTTCCACGCACATGACCTTTAATGGCCCCCCAGTCTTAGTCCGTAGGGTTCAATATTGAGTTGGCCCCGCCCTTTCCACACACATGACCTTTAATGGCCCCCCAGTCTTAGTCCGTAGGGCTCAATATTGAGTTGGCCCCGCCCTTCCCACGCACATGACCTTTAATGGCCCCCCAGTCTCAGTCCGTAGGGTTCAATATTGAGTTGGCCCCGCCCTTCCCATGCACATGACCTTTAATGGCCCCCCATTCTCAGTCCGCAGGGTTCAATATTGAGTTGGCCCCGCCCTTTCCACGCACATGACCTTTAATGGCCCCCCCAGTCTTAGTCCGTAGGGTTCAATATTGAGTTGGCCCCGCCCTTTGCAGCTATAACAGCTTCAACTCTTCTGGGAAGGCCGTCCACAAGGTTTAGGTGGGTGTCTATGGGAAGGTTGGACCATTCTTCCAGAAGCACATTTGTCAGGTCAGGCACTGATGTCGGGGGAGGAGGCCTGGCTCACAGTCTCCGCTCTAATTCATCCCAAAGATGTTCTATGGGGTTGAGGTCAGGACTCTGTGCAGGACAGTCAAGTTCCTCCACCCCAAACTGGCTCCTCCATCTCTTTATGGACCTTGCTTTGTGCACTGGTGGGCAGTCATGTTGGAACAGGAAGGGGCCATCCCCAAACTCTTCCCACAAAGTTGGGGGCATGAAATTGTCCAAAATGTCGCCTTAAGAGTTCCCTTCACTGGAACTAGGGGGCCAAGCCCAACCCCTGAAAAACAACCCCCACACCATAATCCCCCCTCCACCAAACTTTACACTTGGCACAATGCAGTCAGGCAAGTACCGTTCTCCTGGCCACCGCCAAACCCAGACATGTCCATTGGATTGCCAGACAGAGAAGCATGATTGGTCCCTCCATTGAACATGTCTCCTCTGCTCTAGAGTCCAGTGGCAGCGTGCTTTACACCATGGCATCCGACGCTTTGCATTGCACTTGGTGATGGAAGGCTTGGATGCAGCTGCTCGGCCATGGAAACCCATTCCATGAAGCTATATATTTAGTAGCCAGGAAATGTCACGGATGGACTTATTGCACAGGTGGCCACCTATCACGGGACCACGCTTGGAGTCACTGGGCTCCTGAGAGCGACCCATTCTTTCACCAATGTTTGTAGAAGCCGTCTGCATGCCTAGGGGCTTGATTGTACACACCTGTGTCCATGGAGGGGATTGGAACACCTGAATCACACGATATGGAGGGGATTGGAACACCTGAATCACATGATTTATGGAGGGGATAGGAACACCTGAATCACATAATATGGAGGGGATTGGAACACCTGAATCACATGATTGGGAGGGGATTGGAACACCTGAATCACATGATATGGAGGGGATTGGAACACCTGAATCACATGATATGGAGGGGATTGGAACACCTGAATCACATGATATGGAGGGGATTGGAACACCTGAATCACATGATTTGGAAGGCGAATACAATACTTTTGGCAATATAGTGTATGCTATAAGTAGCTTATATATATTATTATTATTATACAGGATTTATATATTATTATTATTATACAGGATTTATGGCGCCAACAGTTTGCTCAGCGCTTTACAATATAACGGGAGACAATACAGATCAATACAAGAGGGATGGGAGGGCCTGATCCTGGGAGCTTACAATCTAGGAATATATATATACAGTCATGGCCGAAATTGTTGGCACCCTTGATATTTTTCCTGAAAATCAAGTATTTCACACAAAAAAGGTATTGCATTAACACATGTTTTGCTATACACATGTTTATTCCCTTTGTATGTATTGGAACAAATATAAAACAGAGGCAGAAAAGCAAATATGACATAATGTCACACAAAACCCCAAAAATGGGCTGGACAAAAGTATTGGCACCCTTAACTTAATATTTGGTTGCACACCCTTTGGAAAACATAACTGAAATCAGTCGCTTCCTATAACCATCAATAAGCTTCTGACACCTCTCACCCGGAATTTTGGACCACTCTTCCTTTGCAAACAGCTCCAGGTCTCTCTTATTGGAAGGACACCTTTTCCCAACAGCAATTTTAAGATCTCTCCACAGGTGTTCAATGGGATTTAGATCTGGGCTCATTGCTGGCCACTTCAGAACTCTCCAGCGCTTCTTTGCCATCCATTTCTGAGTGCTTTTTGACGTATGTTTGGGGTCATTGTCCTGCTGGAAGACCCAGGATCTTGGACGCAAACCCAGCTTTCTGACACTGGGCCCTACAGTGCGACCCAAAATCCTTTGGTAATCCTCAGATTTCATGATGCCTTGCACACAGTCAAGGCACCCAGTGCCAGAGGCAGCAAAACAACCCCAAAACATCATTGAACCTCCACCATATTTTACCGTAGGTACTGTGTTTTGTTCTTTGTAGGCCTCATTCCGTTTTCGGTAAACAGTAGAATGATGTGCTTTACCGAAAAGCTCTATCTTGGTCTCATCTGTCCACAAGACGTTTTCCCAGAAGGCTTTTGGCTTACTCAAGTACATTTTGGCAAACTGTAGTCTTGCTTTTTTATGTCTCTGTGTCAGCAGTGGGGTCCTCCTGGGTCTCCTGCCATAGCGTTTCATTTCATTTAAATGTCGACGGATAGTTCGCGCTGACACTGATGCTCCCTGAGCCTGCAGGACAGCTTGAATGTCTTTGGAACATGTTTGGGGCTGCTTATCCACCATCCGGACTATTCTGCGTTGCAATCTTTCATCAATTTTCCTCATCCGTCCACGACCAGGGAGATTAGCTACAGTGCCATGGGTTGCAAACTTCTTGATAATGTTGCGCACTGTGGACAAAGGCAAATCTAGTTCTCTGGAGATGGACTTGTAACCTTGAGATTGTTGATATTTTGCCACAAATTTTGGTTCTCAGGTCCTCAGACAGTTCTCGTCTCCTCTTTCTGTTGTCCATGCTTAGTGTGGCACAGACAGACACACAATGCAAAGGTTAAGTGAACGTCTCTCCTTTTTATCTGCTTTCAGGTGTGATTTCTATATTGCCCACACCTGTTACTTGCCCCAGGTGAGTTTACAGGAGCATCACATGCTTGTAACATTCTTATTTATCCGCAGTTGTGAAAGGGTGCCAATACTTTTGTCCAGCCCATTTTTGGAGGTTTGTGTGACATTATGTCGAATTTGCTTTCTTTCCTCCCTTTTTTTGTTTTGTCCCAATACACACAAAGGGAATAAACATGTGTATAGCAAAACATGTGTTAATGCAATACGTTTCGTGAGAAATACATGATTTCCTGGAGAAATATCAAGGGTGCCAACAATTTCGGCCATGACTGTATATATATACTAAGAATTTTGTGAATGGAGTTCAGAGGTTTTTCTCTCATTTTGTAGAAATGGTGCAATTTACCTAAAATCTCCAGATTTTTATTGAAATATAGAGAAATGTGAATATTTCATTTATCTCTAGTTTTCTGGATCCCGCACAAAACCTTCAGTTGTTATTAAAAAACAAAAACAAAAAAAACAACTAATGTTCAGAGAGACGTCCTCAGAGGAAAGGAACACAGAGAACAGTTGCCGCGATGCCGCAGGACGCCCCTGACAGAAATGGATTTTGACAACAGCAAAAAAACTCTCTTATTCAGCCAATCACATGAAGCCTGGCGCTTTTTCAATCTCAAAATAAGGCGAACGCATTCTGAACGCAGGGCAGCTACTGAACCTCCATATGCAGACCTCCATATGCAGACCTCCATATGCAGACCTCCATATACAGACCTCCATATACAGACTTCTATATACAGACCTCCATATGCAGACCTCCATATGCAGACCTCCATATGCAGACCTCCATATGCAGACCTCCATATGCAGACTTCTATATACAGACCTCCATATACACACCTCCATATACACACCTCCATATGCAGACCTCCATATGCAGACCTCCATATGCAGACCTCCATATGCAGACCTCCATATACAGACCTCCATATGCAGACCTCCATATGCAGACCTCCATATGCAGACCTCCATATGCAGACCTCCATATACACACCTCCATATCCACACCTCCATATCCACACCTCCATATCCACACCTCCATATCCACACCTCCATATCCACACCTCCATATCCACACCTCCATATACACACCTCCATATACAGACCTCCGTATACACACCTCCGTATACACACCTCCGTATACACACCTCCATATACAGACCTCCATATACAGACTTCCATATACAAACTTCCATATACAGACCTCCATATACAGACCTCCATATACAGACCTCCATATACAGACCTCCATATACAAACTTCCATATACAGACCTCCATATACAGACCTCCATATACAGACCTCCATATACAGACCTCCATATACAGACTTCCATATACACACCTCCATATACACACCTCCATATACAGACCTCCATATACAGACTTCCATATACACACCTCCATATACAAACTTCCATATACAAACTTCCATATACAGACCTCCATATACAGACCTCCATATACAGACCTCCATATACAGACCTCCATATACAGACCTCCATATACAAACTTCCATATACAGACCTCCATATACAGACCTCCATATACAGACCTCCATATACAGACCTCCATATACAGACCTCCATATACAGACCTCCATATACAGACTTCCATATACAGACCTCCATATACAGACCTCCATATACAGACCTCTATATTCAGACCTCTATATACATGTAACGGAACCGACCCAGCCTGAGCTTGGGTACTTCCCTTAGAATAGAATAGAATTCCCCGTCTGAACACCGACCACAGACACCACAGCTGACCATACAAGACGAGGCGACACCAGTCCTGAAGTAAACCAGGAGGTAGACTAGTTTATTTGAACACAGATACAAGATATATACACTCAGGGAACAATCCCCCCTCCCTGCATAATGACACAGGACGGGGCAATCTACATTTAGTAACAAGAGACACACAGGTATTCAAACTTCACTCTAGCAGACAGTCCCATCAGGGGGGAGGGCTGCTGGAGACACCCCCCCCAACTAAGCTAATACACATAACATTAAACAATCCACAACCCCCACCTATCTCCTCAACATGTCTACATAGTCTGAGACAACCCCCCACCCTAATATTAGAACAGATCACCCTGCACCCCTAACAGGCACAGGGTGACTTACACATAAGAGGGCTATGGGGAGCTGAGACAGGGGTCTCCCCACCTCTCCAAAGGGAGCTGTGTTCCATGGGCCCCCCCCCCAAAGTCTCTCCCGTCACATTCAGCAATAAGTTTACATTTTGAATCTGTTTTTGAACTAGATTCCGTTTCCGAATTCCGATCCCAAATTTTGATCAGTTATTTCGGATTCGTTAAAATTTGTTACTGTTGTAATTCGGAAATTCGAATAGATCCGGATCTCTGAAGAATGAAAATTTCGTCCAAATTTCGAATTAGCAAAAAACGAGCCACACAAGTCTAATGTCCGCAAGCGATGCAACAAATGTGAATAACTCAGCATTCCGGTTGTATTCGGATTAATAGCTAATTGATAATGAGATCCGCCGCCGTGCAGAACATTTCCAGAACGCGCAATTTTATGGCTCTAATGTTCATCCACTCGATGGCCACAATACATCCTTTATTCCTAATTCCAGCATCATGAGTACAATATTTACCCCTTTGCAGCGACAGTACGCAAATATGCGCCCGTTCAGTAGGTGGGCCTCGGCGCCGAGAGGCCACATATTTGCAAACCTGAATGCAAACAAACATGCCGAGAGCACGCACCCTGCACAGTTACCAGCCCCTAACGGAAAGCTCCCATAGTGGGAGACATAGCACCCCATTCTTGGTGTCAGTGGGAGACATAGCACCCCATTCTTGGTGTCAGTGGGAGACATAGCACCCCATTCTTGGTGTCAGTGGGAGACATAGCACCCCATTCTTGGTGTCAGTGGGAGACATAGCACCCCATTCTTGGTGTCAGTGAAGAAACAGCACCCCGTTGTTTGTGTCAGTGGGAGAAATAGCACCCCATTGTCGGTATCAGCGGGAGGAAAAGTGCCCCAAGGACCAGATAAAGGCTAGAAAAGGGCCACATTCGGCCCCCGGGAGATCACTAGATGATGCTGAACATCCTACAGCCAGGAAATGAGGCGGAGCTCTATCTGACTGGCAGCAGCTTCTAATGCACATTTTGAGAAGCTCACAGTGTGCAGTGATATCAGAGGAAGCCAGGAGAGGAGCCGGTACACCTGTGCAAGACTGAAAGGGAGGAGCCGGTACACCTGTGCAAAACTGAAGGGGAGGAGCCAGTACACCTGGGCAAGACTGGAGGGGAGGAGCTGGTAAACCTGTGCAAGACTTGAAGGGGAGGAGCCGGTACATCTGCGCAAGACTGAAGGGGAGGAGCCGGCACACCTGTGCAAGACTGAAGGGGAGGAGCCGGTATGCCTGTGCAAGACTGAAGGGGAGGAGCCAGTACACCTGTGCAAGACTGGAGGGGAGGAGCCAGTACACCTGTGCAAGACTGGAGGAGCCAGTACACCTGTGCAAGATTGGAGGGGAGGAGCCAATACATCTGTGCAAGACTGACAGGGAGGGATCGGTACACCTGTGCAAGACTGAAGGGGAGGAGCCGGTACACCTGTGCAAGACTGAAGGGGAGGAGCCGGTACACCTGTGCAAGACTGAAGGGGAGGAGCCGGTA